ACATTTTACATTATGGATAAATCTGCTGCTACCAATTGTAAAAAATCTGAAAATAGAGAGAAATGTTGTTACAGTTTACCAGAGCTCAAAGTCACAATACTTGATCAGTTGAAACCTCAAAATGATTAAAATACTTTAAAATAATCTAATGGCAGCAAATCTTCACATTTGTGAAGCTGGAACCATGTTTTTACATGAAAAATGACTTCAACGATTATCAAAATAGTTGCCAATTAAATTTCTGTGAGTCAACAAATGTCCAAGCTGTCCGTGTATCAAATATTGGGTAGTTTAATTTATAACAAAACATCATATTTTTTCAAATCTTCTTATGTTTTGTGTGTAAAAATCTTACTTTGTAAAATAACTGAAGCTGTCAGATAAATATAGTGAAGTAAAAAGTCCAACATCTCCCTCTTGAGATGTAGTGAAGCAGAGAGTGGCATGAAAAGAAAATACTCAAGTAAAGTACAAATACCTCTAATTTGTACTTAATTACTGTCCACCACTGTGAAGGATGAAGAGTTCCTTTATAGGTAGAGACAATTTTCTTGCTTCTTAAGCTAAATAAACTAGGATCAGCTGCAAAAATGCAAACACGGCTGTTTTTCCAAACTCATGAAAAATGGACTTTTTAGAGATGCGTGGTACTCGCAGGACAGCAACGCTACACACACATGGCGATCTCCTAAAATATGATGCATTGCTGTAGATAAAACTACCCAACAGGATATAAAACAGTTAAAATTAGTTCAACAAGCAGAGCGAACAGTGTAGGGGAGACTGGGGATGATTGTAACATGGGTAAATTGTCCAATTTCTCCAATCAGGAACAAATTACAAATCACCTGATTCACAATTTTTACTTCATTCATTTTTGTTAGAGCATTGCCTGCTTTGTAGTTAAACTCCTCAAACTTAAATTATTTTTATAGTATGTCTATATAGATATCTTTCATGTAAGTTGTTAGTCCTGGTCTCATCTCAGGGGATCAAATACCAACGCTTTGAGACAGCCTGACAGAGCGTCGGTATTATATATAATGCTCATCAGAATCAGAAATGAGTATCTTGCCCAAGGATAATTCGACATGTAGATTAGGGGATCGAACCACTCTCCTTCCAATAAGAGGACAACCGCTCTACCCTGAACCACAGCCCCCCACCACATAGCCTCACTACTATGTCACTATTATGACTGACAGTAACTAAGATACTAAGACAAAGACACAAACACAAATAATGTGAAAAAAAAAAACAAATTTAAGTGTTGAATAAAAATCTTTCAACATCGTGTTTATCTCATATTCCTTATAACTTAAAGTTACATTTCACCCCAGGTTTACATCTATCCCAGAATATGGTGGGAATCGTAATGTTTTACTCCTTCTGTTTGAGACTACCAAGCATTTCTCTCTGTGTTGCAGAGATCTACTCCATTTAATACCAGACACATGTAACTAGCTTGTGTCACATTTTAAATGCACTGGGTTAACATAGCTCCAAAAAACAGACAGAAATGTAAGAAATTAATAAAACTATCTCCCGGTCTCCTCAACTGTGGCTGTAGTGCCATCCGACTGCAACCCCTTGGTGCATTACCGCCAGGTGGCCACTAGATGGAGCCATTTAAATACACTTTAAACTGATGGCTGCTTCCCAAGTCTGGAGGAAAAGAATGAGGGGAAGATTATTTGAATTCGAAACGCCTCATGAAACACGAGTCGCACATTAGTGGAGTCAAGCTGTTGTTCCTCACTTTCACTGAAGCATGCCAGCCTGAACACACTCCTGCATGGTGTGTAACAGATTATTTTGGCCTCCTCTTACTACTAACACATTCCTGTCACGTATATTTGACAGCACTCTGTCACCAGATAGGACTTGCAAGCTTTCCCGGTCCTTCCAGGAACTGTTGTTCCCACCGTGCAGCTGCTGCATCTGATTCATGAATCAGTCAAATTAGTATCAACAGGAAACCGATCATGTGGCTTGTTTATGTGTGATTTACTCCTTTATTTCCTTTATAGGCTGTGGCTGTTGCAGTTACACAGTTGCCTTTGTAGCTTTCGCATGGATCTGCACAAACATATGTACACTAACAAAGAACAAAACTCTGACATGTTTGTTTATTTATTTAATAGGGACGGTGCACGTTTACAAACATTGCTGTAAATGTGCTTGAATTACCCACACTTGTACAAAAATTATATTTTTGGTCATCCTAAATAAGATCTCTTAAGTGTATTGATGATTTATGGATGCTTATGTTCCTTAAATGTAAGTCGCTTTGGATAAAATCGTCTGCCAAATGAGTAAATGCAATTAGAAGTTAAAACATACAACACAAAAACATCCAATACAGCATACATTTAAAGTTTTAGATATTTTTCATTCCTTATTTATTTATTTATTATTGCAAATGTTACTCTAGTCATTTCACGCTATATATTTTTTATTATGTCGTTTTATTTTTGTTGCATTATTTTGTAATGTTTTACAGGCCTATTTGTTTTCATCTAGTGTTGCTGAATTAAAGAAAGAAATGTAGTCTTTTCCTCAGCAGAGAAACACTAATCCACACAATTATCTTTGTGCTCCAGCCGGCCCGTCACGCGGCAGTAGCATGGGGAAACCTGTGGGCGGGGACTGTGACCTATTTTTGGCCAATGGGAGGCCGGGAGAGACAGCTAGTGACCTAGTTTCAGCCAATCCCGGCGCGGCAGAGTCGCCGGTAGGCAACAGTCGGCGCGTGCCGGAGCCATGTGCTTCTTTGGCGTTGAGAGCGCGAGAGGCAGATAGGGACATGGAACAGGGAGAAAAACAGACGAGAATCTCCCGACCATTTTTATACAAAGAAGTACAGTTTAACCACCTTAAATGTAATGATTTAAAAACGTTATAGTGTACAGTTGTTGTATAAGTAAACAAACTGCTTAATTTCTAAAAATGATACATTAAATGGAAAAATGTGAATTGGATCTCTACCTGTAAAAGTGGTTACATTTTAATACAATGTCAAAGCGATGCGGTGTGACTGGATCCGCTCACATGTGAACACCTGATGTGCCCGTGTTTGCTTTGTTTGAGCTGCTTATTGTCACGTTGTGGGTGAAAATAATCATATTTCCCCACATTTAAGATAAGAAAGGAGGGGGGGGGGGGGGGGGGGGGGTAAAGCAAACATCCTGGTGACTCGGGACCGTGTTTTCACTCTGTCAGTGGTCATCGTGACAGCGTGAGAGAGGACGAGAGGGGTGCGTTCACGGTTCATCCAGGAAGGTGTGCAGCTCAGGTGGGCGTGACTTAGTGCGCAACAGTCCCGACTGCTATCAGCCATTGGATGAAACTGCTGGGAGGTGGTGTATTATATGCAAACATGTGTTGCGTTCACTTACTACCGGAGGAATAGTAAATGTAATGCAATGCAAACTGTTAAATGCCAGCAAGCGCAACATTTTAGATTCACCCAGAAAGAAGATTTGTTTTTCTCACGTTAACTAGCCTACTTTAATCTATTTTGAGTTGGTGTAGGCTACTACTGCTGGAAGTGAAACACGAATTATATTTTTAAAAAAGTTTTTTTCTGTTGACCAAAAAATAAAATTCTAAAAGTATTATGAAGTTACCCCATTTAGCATTGCTTTAAGAATGAAACAATGCTGTAGCCTGCTAATATAGGAGTATAATATAAATATTAGCCATTTAGGTGCGATATAAGTCAGAGGTCACACGCCTGTGGAGTAACTATGGGTTAAGTGTCGTTCTCAGGGACACACATTTAAAATTTTAGTAGTACAAAGGTATAGAAACAAAATGAATACCAAAAGAATAACATATATTATTGGACTATGATTGTTAATGCATTAATATGTAGATCACTGCAGCTGGTAAATGTGATGCTAATTTCAATTAATTATATAGGGACAGGGACACATTGGTGGAGGTCGCAGTGGGAATCAAACCCCGGTCTCCCACACCAGAGGCATGTGTCTTCTATCCACTGCTCCATCACCACCCATAGCCTATATGTGTGTTTGGTAAATCATTTTATTTAATTTTTAAATTGTAGGCTATGTAAACTGCTGAAACACTGCAATTTCCCTTCAGGGATGATTAAACTTACTTACCAGCCTGCCTAGTGAAAAATGCCTGTTATAATTTTTCACAACCCAAGGTGACTTTTTTTAATTGTCTTGTTTTGTCCGAAAATAAAGATGTTTTAGTGTCATGTACGGCTGAAAGGCGTGAAATCCGAAGATTTCAGAAACTGGAATCAGCACAGGTTTGAAATGTTTCTGTTGATCGACTTATAGGCTAGATAATTTGACCAGCTCTACTCTAAAGCCTTACCTAGAGTACCTAGAGTAGGCTAATTAGTTTGTTTCTATTATCTCCAGCATGATGATGTCAAAAATGGTCAGCATTTGAAAGTGTTTTTCATCTTTAAAAGCAAAAATCACTGAACTTAGCCTACTTCATATGACTGAACACTTTTTTTCAAAATAGAAATAGCCTGCCGCAATTGCCAGCAGTAGACCTTATTATTTGACAGGCTTAAATATGTCATTCACTTATTTGCACATTTTCTATGTAGGCCTATGACTTTTGACTTTTACAGTTGCCTATAGGCCTAGTCTACTTTATTTTATTTTTTTTTACCATGTTTATTGTTGTGCACCAAAATACTAAGGCAAACTCCCTGTAGACCTATGTGAAAACCTACTTGGCGATAAACCTGATTCTACTTAAATTTGATTAGGATTCCTACTTTCCCATAAGCTCACATTTACCAGCTTTCCCGTGTGGCCCGTGTGCCGTGAACGCAGACCAGTGCATGTAAAGGAAGGGGGAGTCAATGGGGGGCGTGGTCGCTGTATGCAAAGGATCCACGCCCCCAAGCGCCTTTCCCCGTGACCTGTGACGTCACACGAACGGCCCGTGTTGGTTCCAGCTGACTGGCAGAGAGAGAGAGAGCGCGCGAGGAGGGGGGGGGGATCAGAAAGATCGACGAAAATAGAGAGAAGTGTGTGTCTGTGTGTGTGTCTGTGTGTGTGTGAGAGAGAGAGAGCGAGAGAGAGAGAGAGAGGGAGGGAGGAAAATAAGAGCCATCAGTCCCATCTATCTGACTCTCATACTATTGGATATTATTATTTTAGGGGGGGATCTCTTTATTTCCTTCATCTTGTATTTTTCGCTCATATTTGGTCACAAGTTTGATTTTTAGGTAATTTTTTTTTCCATTTTAGGAGAATTCTCGCATCGACTCTTGTTCTGCTGTTTCTAATCCCCTTTCTCCGCTTGCTGCATGGGACGACAGACATCCGCGTTTATATCTGCTTTTATTTATTTATTTATTTATTTTTGGTTTCGTCTCCGGACTAAAATTCTCCGATTTATCAACCAACCGACCGACGGACCGGACCCGGCCGTGAGCCACCGTTTTACCTCCACAAACTCAAAGAGGACTTCACTCCTGCGCCTCCAGGATTCAGTTTGTCTTCCTGTGCGCGTTTATTAGAGCGGAGTTTTTATAAAGGAATATAAAAATAAAGGGTGGCAGCAGCTCGTGGAGGTTTCAGCCGGTCCGAGAGGATGAAATAGACTCGATCAACATGGTGCCATTTTGGAGATAAGTCTCCCTCTTTAATTTCGTTTCTTTACACATTCTTCTTCATGGGACGGGCGGAAAAGTGAGACATCAGGTGAAGATCTTGAGCGCGTCACCTGTCAGCGCACCTTTTGACGGCGCGCCTGTCAATAAGCATCACCAATTGGATTATTTTGATCTTGAACTCTGCAGGTTGATTTTCTCCACCTCCTCACCCCCTCCGTGCCTCCCCTCACCTACCCCCCAGAAGTTATGTCAAGGCCTCTTGCTCAGCTCTTACCGCCGGATCTCCCTGCCGGGGCCACCAGTCCCCAGTTTGGGGGCAGCAACCCGGCTGGAAGTGGCCCCCAAGGTGGACACCTAACCTCCATGACCAACCTGAAGTCCCTGCTCCAGCTGCCAATCAAGGCCGACCAGAGAGGCACCAAGGACTGCAGCGAGATGAAAGGTGAGTGTGTGCACGTGTGCATTAGTGTGTGTGTGTGTGTGTGTGTGTGTGTGTGTGTGTGTGTGTGTGTGTGTGTGAGAGAGAGAGAGAGAGAAATCCTACAGGCAAGACGCGTCTTAAAGGGAAAGTAAGGAAAATACCTCAACAACAAGTCACTGCAGGAATAACATAAAGAAATGTACTATAAATACATTTTGATTTGCTTTAAGTGCACTGCAGCTGTATGTTAGGAGTTTGTGTGATACATTATTTAAAAAAATCCAAATAAATGTGCAAAAAAAGGACAGTAAGGATGCCATCAGCTTTAAATATATATCCACTTTAGAGGCATTTGAATCCCCTGCAGAAATATTAAAGGAATTCTTTAGTGACATAATATGAATAAATGTATACCTATGTAGGCCTATGTATTTATATGAGAGCTGAAACTAGTAATCGTTGATCAATTAGTTGATGACAGTAGATTAATCAGCAACTATTTTGATAATAGGTAAAAAGTTTGGCTCAAATATCAAGGAAAAAAACCCAAACTTCTTTGGTTCAAGCTTCCCAAATGTGATTATTTGCTGCTTTTGTTTGTCAAATATGATATTAAACTGAATGTATGTGGTTTAGGACTGTTTGTTGGATAAAACGAGCTGTTTAAATACGTCAGCTAGTGCTCTGGAAAGTTATATTGACATTTTAATCAAAACAAATGAGATCTATTGATAAGCTATACTGATTGGCTGCTGCCCCATTATGAAAAACAAACAATAAGTATTCATTACACAGCCTCTGCTCAATACATTGCAGAAATATCACAGTGATTATTCATTGGTGTGTATACGTGTGTGTGTGTGTGTGTGTGTGTGTGTGTGTGTGTGTGTGTGCGTGACTGAGTGGGTAGGTGTGATTGTAAAAGATAGAGGCCCTGCTTATCCAACACACACACACACACACACACTGTTTTCATTTCAGCCTTCCTCGTTCTGGGCCGCTGGAATTTTATATTAAATGTTTCCTTTTCGCATTTGGTGGTGAAATGAAATCATCAAGGGGAGGAGGAGGAGGAGGAGGATGAGGAGGGAAGAAGAGGATTTAAAAAAAGAAACACAATCTGGAGTGGATGCCATCAAAATACAGCAGTCGTTTGTGTTCTGATTGGCTGGTCTGTTTAAATAAAGGTTAGTGAGTGGGACTGAATTGTTTCCCATCCACCAGCTGCCATGACAAATATTAACCAGGCTGCTTCTCCTTCCTCTCTAGCTGTGGGGATGTCATTACTCCAAGTCAGCTGCTGTCACACACTTACACACACACACACACACACACACACACACACACACACACATATACACATACATATTGCTTTTACTGGGCTTGTGAGGACACTGCATTGACTCTTACTTTTACCACAAACATTTTAACATCCATTAAAACCCTAAAATAAGTGGGTTTTTTCCCACAGTGACCATACACTGACATGTCCTCACAAGCACAACGGACTGTCAGTAGGCAGTCCTCACAAGTATTGATAGGACTGAACACAGGGAGAAAAACAAATAAATCACAAGTGCCCCCCTGCTGGTTGGCAGCCCCTGGTGGTCTCTTGGTGTAACTGCACCTCACTTCTCTGGAATTCTTTTGGTTCCATGATGATGATGATGATGATGAGGAGGAGGAGGAGGAGGAGGAGGAGATGATGGTGAGCACGGCTGACAGGCTCACCATGGAGTCAGAGAGCAGCTCAGAGGCCCTGGCTATAGCCTCACTGTCAGAGCCCATTGAGCGCATTATTCTCCTAACGATAGGTGATGCATTCAGGAGGGTAAAAAAGATGTTGGTGTGTGATGTGTTTGGTTTCCTCCATCCACAATGCAGAGTCGATGTTTCACTCCTTCGCCCTCCTGCTTTTTCCCCTGGCTAGCTTTGTTTGACGCCTTCGCAAACACCCACTCTATCTAGCACATCTCTCTCACTCGTCTTTATCTCTGTCGTTCTATCGCTCGTCTTTGAGTTTTTCCTCTCACACTTTCCTGTCTTGCTCTCGCCTCATCCCTCTGCTGATTTACATTTTCTCAGGCTTTGTCTCATCTTTTACAGTACACTCTCGTCTCTCTGGCTCTTTTCCCTCCAATCCATTTCCCCTGCTGCTCCTCTTTTCATTCCCTATGCTGCTTTTAACAAAGGGATTTCCCCTTTTTGTTTTGAAGTCCTCTCTAACCTTTATATTGTCATTTCTATGGTGCCGGCAGGTCGCAGGAGATATTGTTTTTAGATTTATGTGCAAGATTTAGTCATTTGTGCTGTCAAATTTATAACTTGTGCACACAAATTAGGATTTTATACTCTTGAATCACTTCATTTGTCCTCTTGAAGTACCATCACGTCACTTTAGCAGGAGGAGCTTAAGTCACAGGTTGTTATGGCTGCTGTGGTTATGTGGTTCAGATGGAGCACCCAGAGGGTTAGCAGCATGCTATCAGCTCTGTTTAGTATTGAGGTACAATCTCTGAATTTATTCCTTCCTGCTAATATGTTTATTACATTTTTTGTATCCTTGCCTGATCAACACAGATTTTTATACAGTTCTGATGCTCTATACACTGCAGGATGGCCGACGTTGGCTGCTCTATGTTAGGTTCATCTACCGCTGTGTGTCAGGCAGTGAAACCCTTTTATTAACCCTTTTGCTGGTTGCCCATTGCCTGCGCAATGTTGTGTTGTCTTTTAAACATCAATTTTAATCAATTACTGACTTTCTTTTGTTTTTATTTATGTGTAACGTAAAGAAATGTGTTTCCACCACCTGTTTGTATGCGTATTTTGAACATGCACACACAGAAATGCAATAAAAAAAACTTAAAATATCGCAAAAATATGTTTTACACTTGGCTGAGATGGAGAAGTTGATGTTTTCATAGAAGCAAACAGCAACAGACTTTGAAGTCAAGATGTACATGAAGCATGTTATTTAAACGTCCAGCCTCCGCTCCACTGGAGAGATGAAAACATCCGATGTGAGCAATGAGGATACTGAAACATGAAACAAACAAAAATCTTATTTTCCGTCATGTTTTGTTCATTGTTTTCCCACCACAAGGTTTGAATGAAGCTCTTTTAATGACGTCATCAAGTTGTGTCCCCTTCTTCTACAATTGTTTAATGGCAACCGACTGAAGAATTAGCACCACCAGCTGTTTGCCTCGTCTCGGTTAGCTGTAGCCGCTACCTTAACGTTGTCACTGAAGAAATATGCTTTTATTTCTGTAGGTCGACTTCCAACAACAATGTACAACTTATATATATGCATCGAGCTCATCTACGCTTGTTGCCATTTGTCTTACTATGAGACACAACAAAGATGTCTCCATCCTTCATAGTACATCCTTCATTGTTTTTCCAATTGGGAAAACAGCCATCCATGAAATTTAGACCAGACCTGTTTGAAAGTGAGATGTGGGCAGCGATTTAGAGATCTGGATCCAGGCTAAATGCGTCCCTGAACCTTCAAAGAGATAAGATTTTTTAAATATTTAGTTTTATACTCTGAAATGTTCTGTTTTGTTCAATCTGTCATGTCTTCTTTCTGCATATCTTTCAGTATATAGTACGTTGAGTTTGATAATGAACAGACAGTAATTTAAAATAAGAGGCTTGCAGATGAGGAAGATGATGACGATGATACCAGAGAAATTACGAGGGACATGAATATGATGGCTTCTTTGACTCTCTGCTCTGTTCCTCCCTCCCTCCATCTCCCTTGCTGTTGTTATGTTGTAATCTCTGGTGTCATGATGTACTTTAATATCTTTCAATTAAAATTTCTGGCCTTCCCTTAGTCTCTCTATCTTGTTCCCTCTTTCTCATTACTCTCTCTTGCTCTGTTGTCCCAGCCCAGTTAAATATGCTCTTTCATTACTATTTTATTGGGTTTTATTATTTAGTGTGCCGTTTTTTCAATATGCACTTTTGAAGAATTCTGTAGAATAATATTATCCAAGGATCAGGGTACTAAACAATCACTCTAGTTCTTTCCGTAGTGTTGCAATTAAATTTGGATCCTGGTTTACTTGCAGAATTTTTATTATTCGTTTCTGCTGATGGTTTATTGATGCCTGATGTCTATATCTATCTTTCCATTGGACGCCCTCCCTCTCTAGGAGGTCAGAGTGCAAGGTCAATCAAGCCAACTTTATTTATAGATGCCTTTCAATGATTGCAACTAAGTGCTTTACAGATTACAGAAAGCAAAGGACAGAAGCAAAAAGCTCAGCCGGTGTGTTTATCAAACACAGTGCAGCCTCTGGAGCTGTTTGTTGATTGCTGTTTGTTTTTAAAATGATTTTCTAGCTAAGTAGTACACATTTGTAAAGCAATTAAGCATTTGAGTTCCAGCAGTCGGATGTTGGTGTCAGCAGATAAATGCAAGAACACCTCACAGATCTGGATCACATCCAAAACAAAATCCAATCCATAGACCATCAGATATCAGCCCAAACTAGTCACTTTTTGGAATAAACAAATGAACAGTATTCTGTTTCACTCGATTATCCATCACATTACCTGCTTAGGTCACAAGTTTTTTGTTAGGTCGTGACGTCTAGTGGCAAAAGAAGTCAAGTGACGTAGTATAAAGACCGACAAAGTCCGCTTGGGTGGATGGATGAGTCTAGTGTGAAAGAAAGTCAAAAGTGACATGTTTTAAGTTAAATAACATTTTGTAGACCAAACCATGATCAAAGTAGTTTCGTTGCCTAAACCTAACCAAATTACAACCATTTCACAATTTTTTTTACGTCAAGTGACTTAGGTCACATACTTAAGGTTCGGTATGTGTATTTTTAGGAAAACTGACAATCAATCTATTTTGTCGGTTAGTAAATGAGGACATGTTGCACATTACTGAATATAGGGTTAGGGTTAACCCTAACCCTAACCCTTAGCCACTATAAGCTACTGGTCATACCAGACCGAGTCAGGCTGTATAAAGCCCTTGCTGTATTCCAATCAGCTAGGGTGTTTATTTCTTATGAATTTCAGAAAAAATATATTATGTCTTCACTCAAAAGTCACATAGTTTCATTTTAACACACACCAGATGCATCAAATAGGCTGACACAGTTGTGAAGCTGGGGTAGGCGTGATATGTCGATCCACAGGGTAAATGTGGTGAAATCAATGCTTTATTGGTTGTAGTGTTAAGACATGTTAGCGCAAGGGAATGAAACGCCTGTCTGTAGGCTTACATAGAAAACAAAGGCATGGATGTTTTGATGTGCATTATTCGCCTCCCGTTATGGGATCAAACCTGGGGCCATCTGGCTACCAGATGTAGTATGTATCTGATGTATGTGCTGGAATATTTCCAAGTAATCAATTTGTCTGAAAAGTTTGATGTGTCCACAAGTGTACACAGTTATTGATATTACCATGCTTTGGAAACATTGTGACTTTTTCCAGCATGGACACAAATATTGTCAGAATAAAAGACAAAATCATTCAAACAGCAATAAATCGTCACCACATTAGTTTGAGGACAGTTTGTTTATTGTAAACAAATGAGACCATTGCAAATGAGATTATCATTCTCTCTCCTCACAATTAGAGTCACATTTGAAATCTGATGGATTGTCAGAATGGATATCATTTGTTATCGGCTCTTCCTTTTCCCATTTAACACAAAACACAAGGAAAGAAAGGAGGAAAAACTTCTTTCTCACCTCTGTGGTCAGAAAGAGTTTTTCAAAACACAACACAGCCTCTTTGAGCATCAAGATGAAATAATCTAACAGACTTCTTGCCCTTCCATGTCTCCAGACAAAGACAAGCCCCTGGACTCTGATGAAGACTCACTGGGTGTCAATGCCAGTGGGCCTGGTGGGCCCGTTGGGTTGGGAGGAACCCCTGGGCCTGGCGCGTTGCGGCCCAACTCCCAGTCGGCCTTCCTGGGCCCGCTGCTGTGGGAGAGGACCCTGCCGTGTGATGGAGGTCTGTTCCAGCTGCAGTACATGGACCTGGAGGAGTTCCTGACTGAGAACGGGATGGGGATGCACAGCAATGGACCCAGCTCCACAAGCGCCCAGATCCCTTCCCAGGTGAGATGAAAATGTCTATGCAAACACTCTCCTCACCAGCCTGCAAGAAAAACATTTCTTTCACAAATGAACAATCGCCTGGATGCAGGTAAACTATGACAAGTTAAAATCAGAATAAATGTATCCGTGTGGAGACTTTTTAATGTAAATACTCACTCAGATGAAACCGTGTGTTGAAACACATATGAAAAACTTATGTCACATATACACGTTAGCCTGTGAGATAACAGCTACTAAAAATGTGGTGAAGGCTAGCAACTTTTTACAGTCTCACAGGAGCAGCTGAAAACCTTGCTAGCGGGTTAGCTTGGGTGTTATTTCGTGCTCCCCTCATATTGTATAGACCATAATCATGAGCAGTTTTGAAGAAGAGGTTGTATTTTTCTTTAATAAAATACATACATACTCTCCTCCCAGAGCTCCCAGTCGGCGGTGCCCAACCAGAGCTCCCAGTGCCCGCCCACCTCTCCTCCACCCTGCTCCTCCTCTTCCTCCTCCATGTCCTCCTCATCTTCCTCTTCCTCGCTGCTGGGACTGGAGACAGTCCAGCCACAACCGCCGCCACAACCACCACCTCAGCAGCAGCAGCAGCAGCAGCAGCAGCAGCAGCAAGCCATGATGGGAGGACCTGAATGTCTACATGGTGAGTGAAAGTGAACATCAACAGAAAGCTGGGAGGAAATCTGGAGAATTTGGGGGCTCTATCAGGCAGGTTTATTATTATAATTTGTTTAGATGTTGAATGTTTGACAAGTTAATACATTGTCCATTAATTAAAGCAGGAGCTTTTTAAAAGAAATAAAACAACTTTCTAGTTAGAAGTTTTTCTTATTGCAGCTCCTGAGAAGTCCACAGCAAGATTAAAACTTACGTTTTCACAGGCAACATTTCTGCACCACCTAATGCAGTTAGACATATATGAAGCTGAACATGCAAAGGCCTTTGATGTGATCTGGCACTAATGAGGACACAGGCCAATGATACATTACATTAACTAACCTAATTTAACCATTGGACGTCTTCAACAATAACCAGAGTAGGGTCTTCTCTAATTACATCGGGGATAAATTGCTGACACCCTGTTCTTCGGCCCTCCTCAGCTCCCTTCAACAGCCTGTTTTAATCCTTTATATACTCATAATTTATTGTTTCCTCTCTCTGTTGCTTTTGATGTGAACCAGAACTGCCAGAACATCAGAAGAGCTTTTCTGTCTTCTTTGATTTTTTCTTTCTCTCGGAGATTTCACAAGTTTGACAACTTCCAATTCTAATTGAAACCACAAAGCCCATTCTTTGTAATGCTGACGGTCATGTTTTTTATCCTGTGAGACATCGAATGAATCATCACAGCTAATTTCAGGATGATTTATTGAGGACAGATTGCCACATGTCTTTGTAAATGTTCAGTGGTTGTATAGACAATTAAAGTAAGGATGAGACAGTGAGTGATCGAGTAATGTCGATGTTTGGAGCCTGAAAAAGAGACAAAACTTTTTTGTAACAGCTCTAATTTCTTTCGTTTCATATTGTTGTGTCTCTAAGTTGTGAATTTTGTCATTGAAGTGTCATTGGATTGAACCAACTGAAAGACGTTCAGATGTTCAGATTGATCAAATTTTACACATTTAAGAGAAGCAGCGCTGTGAAGCTACTTTAATGCAAGTACATGGCATTTACACACCTTTGGGCAGGTGGATTTAGAGATACAAATCACTATCAATCTTGCAGGGACAGGCTGCACTCTCATGTAGTGTTTACTGAAACACTTCTTGATTTTAGGTGTTGATAAAGGAAAAACCTGCGTACCAAAAATCCCTCCCTTACTGTTGTTCTGTAACCTACGAGAATGAAAATGATGAGTATAGTTGAACCTGCGTTGATTGATTTTTTGGCCACATGTGATGCAGTGCGACAAACTGCAAGCACAACACTGACATATTATTACCAGAGAAAGTAGCAAATATGTTAGCAAACAGTTAGCATTCATTTGAAGTCGTGTCCATTTTGGTCTCAGCTACCTCCTAAAGAAGTAGTGCAACTTTAAAATACTAGTATCTAACTTAATGTGTATGCGCACAGACACTTCTTGGGGGTGCGTGTTTCTACTCAGACTGTTAGTTTAACAGGTGTTGGGATTTTAAGCTCTCGAAACAAGCAAATCATTCTTCCTCTGTCTTTTCATGTGTGAACATGCCAATTGTTGTTTGTTTGTGTCCAACACTTCATTGAACACGTGTGATCCTCACACTGTCACTGTTAAAGATTCTGGCATCACTGTACACACAAGCTGAACTAATAAAGGTGAACTCACCTTTAGAGACGTCAGAGTTTACCGGCGGTTGCTTCTCACAGCTTTGTTGTTGACATATTGTTTAGAAAAGGTTCCCTGACTCGGTCACTTGTGTGGGAACAAAAATCGAAGGACTGTTTTTATCTTTTAACGATAATCTGCTTGTATGTTGTACCCATGCCTTTCACAACTCATACTTTTCACAAAATGTGCATACTTACAATACAGTATGTATATAGTATAGAATAGTATGAAGAGTTTGTACACAGCTACAGGCAGAGATGAAATTACAGAAAGAGTGTAAGAGGGAGTCAGAGAGATAAGCTGCCCAGCAGGATCCAATTCTGAGAAATCTGACTGGAACATTGTGTTTGCCTTTTTATTCTGAGTCATAAACAATAAGAGAGGAGATGTTTCGCTGTGAAAACGAGCAGCAGAGTAGCTTGAAGAAAAAAATTAAATTACAATAAACTATTGGAAAATGAGACACAGAGAGAAGAGAGATGCGAGAAAGGAAGCAGCAGAGCCTCACAAGCCTCACTGGATACTGCTGCAAGACTCTGAGTGTGTGTGTGTGTGTGTTAATTTCTGCCTGAGTGCCTCGGCAAGTGTCTATGAATATACATAATCAGTGTGTGTTTGTGTGCATGCCTCTACGTGCACGTGCTTGTGTGCGAATGACTGTGCAGTACGCTGAACTTCAAACATGCATATGAAAGTGCCCTCTTTATTTCGGCATTTACACGCAACTGTTTGGGCTTTAATGTGAACATGCTCCTGTGTGTGTGTATGAGAGAGAGAGATAGAGAAAATGTGTGTGTGTTTGTGCTCTTTATTCTGAATTATAAACACTGGACTGGGTTGAGCATGATGCATCCAGCCAGAAATCCCTGAGGTCATTGTGGAGCTGAAGTGTTACTACAGAGCTGCAGAGAGAGAGAGAGAGAGAGCGAGAGAGAGAGAGCGAGAGGGAGAACCAACCAGAGAAATAGATGGAAAATGCACTAGTAATAATAATCTGATCCACATGCACATTTGGTTTGATTTTAATTCATTCTTGGTAAAAAGCAAAACTGCTTAGAGGGAGAGAAAACACAAAAATACGGATGCAGCTGTGGTTTTTATAAAGCGCTTTGATGAAATCTGTCACCTGTTTGTTGCTCAAAATGCAGCAAATCCTACATTTTTGTGAGGACAAGCGTGGAAACTAGTAGATGAAGGCAGCATAGATAAAACAATTACTAAACCAGCTGTGGTCATGTAACTGAACTGAACCCAAATGTTCCATAAAATAATTCTACCAACCACACTAAACCTGACAAACTCTGTTTTTCTGCCTGAAAACCCTCCTCTGAGAATCAGCTGAACTGACGAGCAGGACCAAAAAGTGCTTTGATGTCATTTGATTTGAATTTAATCCAGCATTAATGGTTTCAACCAATTTCCACCTGGATTTTATGTCCCCAAACATCCAAAAGTTGTGTTTTGCAAGAAAACCCAGATCACCACAGTCTACAGTAAATTAAATCCTCTTGTGGTAACCATAGTCTGCATAGCTGATGACAGAGGACAGAAAATGCTAATAAGCCTTTGATTAAGTCCCTCAAATGTCATGTGTAAAATATTGTGTATAATATTTTAAGAACAATCTTCACCCAGATTTTTGTATTGTAAGTACAAAAATAATGAGCACAAGTATTTAAAATCATCGTCTTAGTTATAAAATGAAACCTGCATGGCATATTTGTCACCTCAGTGTTATTCACAAATTGATTTTATTGGATCATTGAGAAGAAATATTTCCACAACATCAAAACAGAATGTTATCCCAGTTTAAATCTGAAACTGATAATCATTTCTGCCTGATCCAATCATCTGCAATGTAATTTTGCTCAACACTCACTAATGATGCTCTTTAACCAAGCTAACGCCCACTGAGCTCCAACCACAGAAGTGAAATTTCTGGACCAGCTTTGTGATAGAAGAGGAGGAAAGCTGTTAAGCAGAATTCATTAGAAGTTAAAGAAGATCCACCATGGTGCCTACTGTAAGTTATATTATATAGTGAGTCTATTTATCCTTGGTAGAGCAGTGTGTTTTCCCCTGAAGAACAGTGCTTTGTTTTCGTAGGAAAGGAAATCACCTTTAGTTCATATCAGGCTGAAGCTTCGATGCATCCAGGTCAATTCCCTTAGTCAGAAATCGTCCCAATCAAAAACAGATTTTCAAACCTCAGATTCCCATGAGCCTGTGCATGCTGGAGGACACATGAACTCATTGAACTGCAATGTGTTTGGAAGGAAGCATCTGCTGCACTAATTTTTCACAGCTATTACAAAGGCTCTTCACTTACTAAACTGAAGAACACAAAGAGATTACTACACATAAAACATACATGAGACATAGGATTTGATGAGTAAACAAGATATTCTGACTCGCTAACATCATCTCGTCACTACGTGTTTGACATGTGATATAAATGAAACAAGGCACCTGGAGAGAAATCCCAAATCTAAATACCCAAACCAGATCAGGTCAACCGTTCCATTTCCTGAGGCTGATCTGTCCACCAGATTTAATGGGAATTAATGCCGTTTTTATATCTTGCTGACAGACCAACATGTGAAGCAACAGTGAAAGCAGAAGTGGTGAAACCTCAATGGGAAGTTAATGATAAAACAAACATGCCAATATTGAAATATGGGCTTTAGTATGGGCTCTAAGAAGCTAAATTTACGGCTGGGTTTTTAGCTGACATATACGTTTTACTTGGTTTTACTTATTTAGATACAAGGCTAGACTTCAGGCCTCAATTTTAACAGTTTCAGTTTGATCCAAAGTTGGATCTTCAGTGAGGATGGGCTGATTTTTTTCCTTTTTGCCCTAAAGTTGTCTGTGACTATGAAAAAACAGTACCAATACCCAGATATTAAGCAGAATAAGGCTGTACTCTGAAAATGAAATCATCAGGTAAAGATTATTTTTCCTCGGCCTGTTGGTCAGTCCACCACTTTGGTCCAGACTGAAATATCTCTACTGGATGGAGTGTCATGAAATTCTGTGTAGATATTCATAGTTCCCAGAAGTCCAGATATTAAAGGTCCCTTGAGGATACTTTCTGATGACTTTGGTAACCTTTTCTTTCATGCCAACAGCAGTTAAAAGTCTTTACTTATCCTGTTAACTATCTCAACATCCAAATGATTGATTGGCACAGTATATTGCACACTCATTCATGGTTCCAGGAGGATGTATTCTAATGACTTTCTTGATTTCTGACTTTTCCTCTGGTGCCACCCTGGGGTTGACATTTGTGTTTATTGAAATATCTAGACGACTATTAGATGGATTGC